AAGTTATACATAATTCTAATTAGAATATTACGAAAATAACCAAATACAATACTTTAAATTACGATCACAATTTATGTTAAGCAAGTTAGCAATTATCACAACATTTCAAGTTCCCAAAATGAGAGTAAAACATATTGTAGTAATTAAGAAATGATGCATCGACATGCAAGAGTTGGTCTAGTATTTTAGGGGTGTTACAACTCTCTCCCCCTTTAAAAAATTTTGTCTCAAAATTTACCTTACACTAGTCCCGGAACAAGTGCGGATATAGGGTCCTCATGTCTTCTTCTCTTTCCCAGGTAGCTTCTTTTCCAGAATGGTTCCTCCAAAGTACCTTTACTAAGGGGATTCTCTTTTTCCTAAGTTGCTTTACTTCTCGAGCTTGAATTAGAATAGGTTCTTCATTATACGTCAAGTCAGGATTAACCTCAATAGATTCAACTGGAAGAACATGAGATGGATCAGAACGATATCTTCTGAGCATAGAAACATAGACATTGTGGATCTTGTCTAACTCAGGTGTCAACGCCAATTTATATGCAACTGGTCCAACCCTTTCAAGTATCTCATAAGGTCCAATAAATCGGGGACTAAGTTTCCCTTCTGGCCAATCTCATAACCTTTTTCCATGGAGACACCTTTAAGAAGACTTTATCTCCAACTTGATATTCAGTATCACGCCTTTTTAGATCAGCGTACGACTTTTGTCTATCAGAAGAAATCTTTAGACGATCTTTGATAATTTTTACCTTGTCCTCTGTTTGTTGCACAATTTCATGACCAATAAGCTTTCTTTCACCAATTTCACTCCAACAAAGAGGAGTCCGGCATATTCTTCCGTATAAGGCTTCATAGGGATTCCAATACTCGATTGGTAGCTATTATTCTAAGCAAATTCTATCAAAGCCATGTGTTTGTCCCAACTACCTTCAAACTCCATAATGAAAGCTCGAAGCATATCCTCCAAAATTTGTATCACTCTTTCCGACTGGCCGTCAGTTTGAGGATGGAACGAAGTGCTAAACCTCAACTTATTACCCAAAACTTCCTGCAAGCTACCCCAAAATCTAGATGTAAACCTTGGGTTCCAGTCTGATACAATAGACACAGGGATCCCATGTAGTCTTACAATCTCATTAATGTACATCTCGGCTAAACGCTCAAGTGAGTAATCCATCCTGATTGCTAAGAAGTGAGCACTCTTGGTTAGCCTGTCCACAATCACCCATATTGCATCATGATTTCTCTGAGTGCGAGGAAGTCCAGAAACAAAGTCCATAGTTATTCTCTCTCATTTCCATTCTGGCATCGACAAGGGTTGTAGTAAACCACTGGAACTTGATGCTCTGCCTTTACTTGTTGACAAACCAAACATTTAGAGACGAACTCCGCAATGTCTATCTTCATACCATCCACAATAATTTTCTTTGATGGTCCGGTACATCTTTGTACCTCCAAGATGCATTGCATATGGTGAAGTATGTTCTTCATTCAATATTTTTCTCCTCAATTTCTCATCATTAGGGACACATAACCTGTTTTGATAAAATAAGCCACCATCCTCCGTAAATGTAAAATCAAGTTTTTCCCCACTTTGAACTTCTCTGGTCAAGTTTACAAGTTTCTCATCTAACATTTGTGCTTTTTTAACCTGTTCAAGTAATATTGGCTTTACTTGTAAACTAGCAATAGCTGAACCATTTGAATCAAGTGTAAACCAAACATTCATGGCTCTTAACTCAAGGAAAAGGGTAAAGGACTCAAAGAAATGCTTGCGAAGGATTTCCGACTTAAGGTATCTGCAACCACATTGGCATTACCTAAATGATAATCAATCGTGCAGTCATAATCCTTGATGAGTTCAAGCCATCTACGTTGTCGAAGGTTTAGCTCATTTTGAGTACCCAAGTACTTTAAGCTCTTGTGATCAGTGAAGATATGACACTTCTCTCCATATAAATAAAGCCGCCATATTTTTAAAGCATACTATAGCAGCAAGTTCAAGATCATGAGTAGGATAATTCAATTCATGCGGTTTTAATTTCTGAGAGGCATAAGAAATTACCTTCCCTTCTTGCGTCAAAACGCATCCGAGACCATTGTGAGAACATCACTGTATACTACATACTCTTTCCCTTCAATTGGTAGAGTAAGTATAGGTGCTTGAGTCAACAAGGATTTGAGAGTTTCAAAGCTCTCTTGACATTTGTCATCCCAAATAAACTTTACTTCCTTCTGGAAGAGCTTAGTCAAAGGAGAGGCGATAATGGAAAATCCTTTCACAAATCTTTTGTAGTATCCTGCTAAGCCCAAGAAACTTCTTACCTCAGTCGGACTTTTGGGAGGTCTCCATTCAGCAACTGCTTGTATTTTACTAGGATCCACCTTCACACCTTCAGTTGATACAACATGTTCTAGAAAAAGCTACTTCATCAAGCCAAAATTCACACTTGGAAAATGTAGCATAAAGTTCTTTCTCCTTCAAAATTTTCAAAATAATCTGAAGGTGTTTATCATGGTCTTCACTACTTCTTGTAAATATTAAAATATCATATATAAAAACAACCACAAACTGATCATGATAAGGCTTGAATACTCGATTCATTAGATCCATGAATACCACAGGAGCATTTGTTAATCCGAATGGCATCACCAAAAATTCATAATGACCATATCGAGTTCTAAAAGCAGTTTTAGGAATATCTTTCTCTCTAACATGCAGTTGGTGATATCCAGACCTTAAATCAATTTTTGAGAATACTCTAGCACTTTTAAGTTGGTCAAACAAATCATCAATTCTTGGTAGCGGATATCTATTCTTGATTGTTATTCTGTTCAATTTTCTAAAGTCAATACAAAGCCTAAGAGTGCCATCTTTCTTCTTTACGAATAAAATAGAGGTTCCCCAAGGAGAAGCACTAGGTCGAATAAAACCTTTCTCAAGTAGTTCTTGCAATTGAGCTTTCAATTCTCTTAACTCTGCTGGAGCCATTCTATAAGGGATGATCGAAATAGGTGTAGATCCAGGAATAAGCTCAATTGGAAATTCAACCTCTCTTTCTGGGGGCAATCCCGCAAGGTTTTCTGGAAATACTTTTGGAAAATCACATACAGCAGGTATGTTCTTGATACAAGGACTCTTCAACTGTGTATCAAGTATGTGAGCAATGTATGCCCCACAACCTTGACGCATCAACTTTCTTGCCAAGGCCGCAAAAATAAAACTAGATGTCACTAATCTTTCACCTTGTACAATGATGTGTGAAAATGTAGGATCTTTAAAAGTCACATGCTTAGACCTACAATCTACCACCGCATGATATTTATAAAGCCAATCCATCCCGATAATAACATCAAAATCCTTGAAGGGCATTTCAATTAAATCAGTAGGGAAGACTAGGTTTTGAATCACGAAGGGACAATCTTGGTAAACTTGATTACACAGAACTTGATAACCCAAAGGACTTTCAACCAGCACATCGTAATTAAGTCTCACAGATTTCACATTTTCAGGAAGAACAAGTGATGAACAAATATAAGAGTGTGTAGAACCAGGATCAAATAATGTAAACACAGATAAGCCAAATAAGTGAAATTTACCGACAACCACGTCTTTTCCATCTTGATCATCCCTCTACCTCATATCATAAGCGCGTGCAGTAGCCCTTTGTCCACTAGCTTGATTAGCTCCACTTGTACTTGCTGCCTGGGTATTTTTAGGTCTTGCACCTCTATTAGTTTGATGAGGATTTTCCTGAGCCTTCAGTTCTCAATGATGGAGCATTATTAGGATTAGGACAATCCTTCACTTTATGATCAAAGCTCCCATAATTGAAACACGCACCAGAAGCTCTCCTGCAAGTACCATAATGATTCTTTCCACATTGTGGACAAGTGGGAACGCGAGGCTTGCCTTGGCCATAATTTGGAGTGCTAGCTGTAGAAAATTCTGATTTGTTTTGCCTTTGTTGAGGTGGCCTATTATCACTACCAGCCTTAGAATTATCAAACCTTCCCCTTTTGGATGGACCCCCAAAATCTGGTCTAGGCTTTCGGAATCTATTTTCATTTCTACTAGCTTCTTCTTTATCAAGTCGTTCCCAAGTAAAAGCAGCAGACACTAACTTACAAAATTTCTCATGTTGCA